TAAATGTTGCCACCAGCAAAGCAACAATTCAAAACAAACACAAACACAAACCTCACACATCACATAACTAGGCATGTGGTAGGAGACAGCATTCTTTTTCTTCCCATTTTATTCTATGGACATTGGGTAGAACCACATTACTCTGCCAGTATCTGACAGACTTATAAAAATGGCTAGTTCACATAGTTCAACCTAACATTTAGAAAGTTTCCAAAACTGACAGAACATATAAGAACAAGTAAAGATGATACGCTAGCCTCACAGAAGAGCAAAGCAAATAACAGCAAAGTCCTTACAATAATTTCAAGAAAATCAGACAAAGACTAACGTGGAAGGCTCCTTTAAGATGATGTGTTTATTGTTTGGTGTGGTGGCACATATTAGGGAGAAAACACTCACAAAATTAGACAAAGGATTTATATCTTTATATACAAAGAACTGTAAATCAACAAGAAAAATACAGGTCACCCAAAGGAAGAGCAAGTAAAAAAGAAGATAACAAAATTACCAACATGAAATAGACTACCGAGGAACAGCCTGTCATTCCAGAATCGTCACCAAGGATCAAAACACTTGAACATAAGAAGACAAAGAAGAAAGGTAAGAGGTCAGATGGGTGTCAAGAATGACCAAAATGTTCTGTCTCTTGATTTAGAGTCAACTGTGCAAGCATTCACATACACAAACGTTCGTCAGCTGAATACTTGAGATGCATATGCTGCTTTGTTCAGAGAAAAATATATTTCAATCTTTAAACTATAACAAAAAATAAAAACATAATCAGCCAGCAACAGCTTTTGTTATAGAATAATATAGGGAAGGGGAAGAAAGATGGATGTAAAGGCACTGAGCCCGTATCTACCGTTACCCAATATGCACGGGTAGCTATGTCAATAAATAACCGTAGAAGCACATTTTTGAGAAATATTGTGGTTAGTGGGACTGGAGAGATGGCTCAGTGGTTAAGAGCACTGACTGCTCTTGCAGAGGACCCGGGTTCGATTCCCAGTGCCCACATGTCAGTTAACAATCATCCATAACTCCAGTTTCAGGGGATCTGATGCCTTCTTCTGTCCTCTGTGGGCATTACACAACACGGTGCACTTACACACATGCAAACAATACACTCATGCATGTTAAATAAAAGTAATAAATGAAATATTTTTAAAAATGAAATATTGTAGTAAGAATTGCCTCTAAGAAACAAAGCTAGAGATTAAGGAGAAGGGAAACTGCTAAATACTTTTTAATTATATTTGATTTATTTAAACATTATATATACATATATATGTATGAATTTGATATATATATATGAGTTTGAAGCTTTAAAATAAATATTAAATGGTTAATAAGTATGTAGCTTTATTTACATAAACATAAGAAGGAGAAGACCTCTTAGGGATACCTCAGTGACATCTTTTATTTCACTGGTCCAGTACCCCTCCTCCTTCTGTACCCTGATTATCCTTCCTCTGCCATTGCAAGTCCAGGTGATTCAGAGGCCTCTCCAGCCCCAGTTTTTTTTAGCAATGATTTATGATTCAGGCCCATTCTAACCATGGTCTTGGCCCTTAATAATAGGAAGTTTCTTCACTCAGAGATAGACATAAAGTCCACTGGAGCCAATGAGAGTTGTACCAAAAACAACTGTGGAAATTCTGAAGGCAAGATGTATGCTTTCCTGAAGCTTTCCTGATCCTTTTCTGACTTACCCACCAGAAAACCATGCAAACCAACCAATAAATTTATGTATCTCTAAATAAACATTGTCTTAATCAAAATAATCTTTCTTAAAAGTAAATACAAAAGGAAGGAAATGCTTTGACTCATAAAATTGGTCATGTTTTTGCACTTAGTGACAAGATGGACGCGCTACAGAAAAGTAGCAAAACACAAACATACAGCTTCATGGATTTTTTTTCAAAAAACAGGAAAGCAAAAAAGTTCCATTTTTAAAATATAAACAAATTAAATGAGTCAGAAACAACTTTTTCCCCAATGACAGAACTAACGATTGCTGTAAATGTTATTATGCAGGGTTGGTGAGTGTCCCATAGACTGCTGGTAAGAACGAAAATTAGTATCACCAGCCAGGCATGATGTCACTTGCCTTTAATCCCAGCACTGGGGAGGCAGAAGCAGGTGGATCTCTGTGAGATTGAGGCCAGCCTGGTCTACATAGCAAATTCCAGTTCAACTAGGGCTACAGGGATACCTTGTCTCAAAAAGACACCCCAAATTGGAAAATTAGTTTAATCTGTCTGAATCTGAAAGGCAGTCTCAATGTAATAAAAATGTAGATGTCTTTGACACAATTCTTCCTAAGACTTTACCTGAGGACATAATTTAAAATGCATACAAATATTCTGCCTACAAATTTCCTTGCAGAAACACTAGGAAAATAATATTTAAAAATAGGACTCATTAAAACCTGTGCATTCCCATAATATTCAGTCATCTAAAGTGTTGATGTAAAAGAGATACATGCATAGAAGACCATTCATAATTACCAAATACAACAAATGGGCTGCCCAACTGTGTTTTGTAGCCTGTGAAATGTCCACCAGACTACACATTAGATGACAGTAAGGTCTCTGGAAGGTTTGGCAATGAGATTCAAAATCTATTAGATTTAGTTCCTGCTTACATTCATAGTTCATTCTTCCTCCAATGAACTTTAACTGAATTTCAATAAGAAAAACATGTATTTTAAATTCATAAAAAGTTGAAAGTCACCTTTAAAGGTAATTTCAGCCAGATATTTGCAGCCAAACTGTACGCAAGCTGGTTGGTGGAGCCTGGGTGATGAGAAAGTAGAAGAAGTGGACTTTCTTTTAACAAAATCTGCTTATCCAACTGAGGAGCAAAGGGTCTCAAGATCTGTGTGGCATCAGGTGAAATGGAGAGTTTGCACTGGGGCAAAAAAGCTAGAGGAACCAGAGGGGATCAGTGTGAAATGTCTATGGAGCCCAGCAGCATCATGCTGGGCTTTGCTGGGCTGCGCATCCCTTTGTGTCAACCATACTCCAACACCTAGGTTTAAAAGGAGGGCAGAAGTTACCTGGGGGCAGAAGTCCTCCCTTCAGCCTCTTGCTGTCTTAACTCCCTATCCTAGTGCACCCGCAACTCTCCCAGGGAAGAAAATAACACTCTTGGACCTCCATGAAAGGAAGCGTCTTTGATACCCTACTCATAGAAGACTGAGTACTATCCCCAACAGCCATAATATACCTTTGGTCTTAATCATGAACAAGAGAGTTTTCAACAATTCACACAGGCTTGAATGCTCTGTCAGATTACATTTTCTTTCATCTATTTGGGGCATATTAACAGCTGGTGACCTAGATTAATATGTGAAAAGGCAGACCATACCACAAATTACTTCACAGATGGAAAGCAGATTCAGTGAAAAGCCTAAGATGAAAGATTCAAATGATTGCTTTGCAGGGAGGGGTAACTGAAAGGGGGTGAAATGAACCATAGAAAAATTATCACTAAAGTTGAAGGTCGGAAAACATCAGGTGCCTGGCTACTTTTTGGACATGCCGGGCCTGGAAGGAGCCAGGTAGCCTTGGTAATTCAGCTGCTGAAGGAGTGGCTGGAGGAGAATACTGGAGCTCAGGATGAGCTTGAGTAGCTATTAAAAGCAAGACAATCCTCTTAGTGCACCGGGAGGATGCATGTGTGCTGGGATGGAAGGACTGTGAAAGCCACTGGAACTCTGGGCCTGGGAACTGGGAAAGGGTTCAGTGATACCCAGCTCAGCGGGAAATGGAAGCAACCTGAACTTGGGTCTAAAGAGGGAGACTGAGGAAGTGAGGAGCAAGGCAAATCTGACTTCCGGAAACTCAGGGAAACACCAGACATCCTGCATCCCAGGGAAGGAAATGAATGCCATTTAAAAGTAAATGCAGTTCAACTGATACCCAGCCTGGGGTTCACTAGCTGGTGTTCAGTTTCAGATGCAATGCTTAACTCCTTTGCTCAGGGCAAATGAAGACTTTAGAGTAGTCAGATACAGTTGTTACCAGGGAAGCCAGGAGAGCTCAGTGCTCGTGCAATGCCCCTCCAACTGCCCAGGGCTGGGCTTGCTATGGATCTGGGTTGTGTTTGTGTAGTCCCTGAGGAAGAAGATAAATTGCAAAGGCTAATTTACTCCTGGCTTGCAAAACATCTAGGACCTCAGCCCCTCAGAAGGGGGCGGGTTTTGTTTTGTTTCTTTCATCTTAAGCAGTGAAACACCCTTCTGGGGCAGAAATATGCACAGAAGGACTCTTAAGTTGAGGTCATTTATTTTTGACCTTCCAGAGGACATTGGCGTTAAAAAGGACCCACATAGGGGGAAAGTGAGCATTCCCTGTTTGGAACTCCGGCTCACACCAGGGCACCGCGTGAAGGTGTTGGTTGGTGGTTACCCAGCCCTATTGGTCCAAGCAGATTTGGGGGTGGCTTCTCTGCTAAGTAGTTCGCTTCAACCTCACTCAAATAGCCACAACCGTCCCTCCCCTCCCCCGTCCCCCCAGGAAGAAGGGCTGCGACAATCTCCCGCCCGGATCTGCGGCCTGAGTCCTGGTGAGCTGAGCGCGGAGAGCCTGGAGCCGGCTGGAGTGATGCAGGCACAGGGAGATGCTGAAGCCGCGGGATGAGGTCCGCTCCGGGCGCAGCGAGGAAGCCACAGCACTTGACCGCTGGTCCTGGCTGGCGTGCCCAGGAGAGTGGCCACCCCGGCGGGCTCCAGATGACTGGTACACCTGTGCCTGGGGACCAGGGTCTGGCCCTGGCGCGCCTGTCACCCGGCGGCTTCACACTGCCTGATTCCTGCCTGGCTGCTATCACTCAGCAGAGACAGCGACTCCTCCGCCCCAGGTCGCCCCAGCCCCGCAGCGCGCAGCACCTGGACCCGCGGACCCGAGCGCGCAGCCTGTGTCCTGCCGGCTCTGCCCCCGATGCCCAGCACCGTCTCGCGCCACCTGCAGTGCAGCCCGCGGCCCTGTGCTGACCTTCTCCTGCGCGCGGTTGAGCCGCTTCTGCACGTTCTTGGCGAAGATTCCGGTCTTGATGTCGGCCATGGCTGCGGTCTGTGGAGCTGGAGGAGCGAGCGCGCTGCGGGGCCGGCGGAGGCACCGAGGAGCCGAGGAGGAGGAGGAGGAGCGGGAGGAGGAGCGGGAGAGGCGTGAGGAGCAGCGGAGGCAACCGGGTGAAGGAGGGGCGCGGCGGCGGGACCGGCTTAAAGAGACAGAGCGGAGGCGGGAGGCGCCGCGACTGGTGGTGACACAGCGGGAGTGGGAGGTGTAGGGAATAAAGAGGGAAGTAGCCAAAATGCTCAGACAGTGCCCACCGTGGTGGAAGCGGTCAGGAGGCGAAAGAGGAGACTCGCAGCAGCCCCAGGACCTGGCGGCAGATTGGGGGCGGTTGGGATTTACAGCGGGGAGGAGTCAAGCCTTGATTATTTCCTCCAAGGAAAGAAGCTGGGGAGAGGAGGGAAGGACACCCCCGTAGGGGTGTGGAACAGGGAACGTTGCTGTTCTGATGGCTGGTTTCTTGCTGCTCCCAGGAGTACCCAGTTGACCACCTGATCAAAATACCCTGAGTGGAGAAGGAATGGATGCCTCTGCAATCCAGAGGCTCCCACCGGTGAGGGGACGGACTGGAAATCCCTCCAAGGCCCTGCAGGGCTGTAGAGATGCAAGAGAGAGATAGCCGGAAGTAGCACCTAGGCCACACTTGTTTAAATTTTAATTGGAGACTTGGGTGTGGGGAAGCACGCATGTTGAAAAGGGTCAATTCCTACAAACAGGTGCTGTGCCTTGCCAGCTCTCAAATTCCCACTCAGTAGAAACCCTGGCATAACAGGTCCCCCACCCCCCAAGAAATAGAATGGTAAGTGGAGCTCCACATCAACTGGGCCTTAAACCTTCTGGCAGCCTTAAACAGGCACATCAGTCCTCTATGCCTGGCAGAAGCTAAAAGGATAGGGAGCTTTTCTAGAAGTTTCCAGCAATGGACAAACCGTTCATATTCCATTCTCATTTGTAGTATGAGGAAAGAAAGGCAGATGGGACCCACGAATTGAGGTCAGAGGTTGGTGGATCAGGCACCCCTCACCTGAGCATCCCATGCTCCTCTAGAGGGTATTGCTACTTAAGTGTCCCCTCCCTTGAACCATCCTAGCAGTCAGGCTGTAGCTCCAGCACCTTGATTTTAAAATGATGCTATTACCACCTTAATAAATGAGATATGGTGTAAGGGGCACTGTGCCAGCTAAAGAACTCAAGGGCTCTGCACTCTGGGGAGCCCTCTGCTATTATATAGGAAACTCAACTATCCTGCTGTTAAAATTAAATAAAAGCAAAGGCCCTAGAGAGGCCACATGAGAAGAGAGTGGTCTTGAGAGTGGAAGGAAAGAGTCAAATGTCTCAACATGCAACCACACAGTCGCATCATCAAGACCAGCAGAATAGCTGCCCAGTGGACCCCAGCCCAGAATACAGAATGGTAAGCAAACACCGTTGTTTCATGAACAATAGACACCTGGAACTGTTTGCTTAGCTTGTCCCTACAATTATCTATCATTTGCTTAGGAATGAAGAGGTTCCCAGGACACAGGACTCTCAGTGCTGAAATCGGGAGGTCTTGAGCAAAGCAAGATGAGTTGGTTATTCTGTTTCCAACATCCCAGATAAGCAGATGTTTCTCTCACAGAGAAGTGAAGAGAAAGCTGATTCCTGCACTTCGTCAACATTCGGTGGAAAAGACTCCTTAAAAGGTGGAAATTTGAGTCAAGTCTCTCTAGTGGAGGAAGAGGGTTCAGAACCTTAGCACTGTCTTGGGAATTTGACTACAAGGACACAAATCTTAGAATGACAAAGTAAACCAGAATAATCTAGAGCTTATCAATTTATGGTCACCCTTATGATATCAGCCCCCTGAATCCCACTGCTCTGGCACAGAGTCAGCCACAGCTCCCTCTGTAGATATCAGTGTCCTTTCCCTAACACACAGGAGGGCAGCATTGTAAGAGACTGACTCTTCTGTGCTTCTGTGACGTCCTAGCTCTTAGTCCCCAACAAGCCCATCCTTTGTCTCACTTGCAGTTATCTCCCAACCATACTTTTGGAATGCAACAAACATCTGAAGTAAAATTGAAAATGAATAAGTTTTATTATTCAGATGCTCAAAACTAGTTTGGTAATGTGAGAGTCTTGTCATTTCTTGATAATTCTATTTGAAAGACATGCTGAGTGTGTTAAAATTTTGTTATGTGCAAACTGTTCTCCCATCATTTCAGCGAAAACCAGAGGTAAGTTGGTGCCTATTTGAAATTGCCCCGTGGCTCATTCTAGCCACTCCAGAAAATTGGCTAAGCATGTTAAGTAGTACTTATTGGTGCTTTGTAAACATTTGTTGAAAATAATGCACCCATAGATTTGCTCTTGAGCATCCATTATCCCAGGCATGGTGAGAGACAGAAAAGAACTCCCTTGAGAAACCAGAGCTGGAATTCTTGAATTGTTCGAGTAACTCATTAAAACCTTTGAACCAGGCACATCAGAGCTGCATATATGTCAACAGAGTATATGAATCTGTTTTACCAAACAGTATAATACAGGCAAAGAAACCCTCAAACGGGGCTGGAGAGATGAGTCAGCAGTTTAGAACACTGACTGTTCTTGAAGAAGACCCGGGTTCAATTCCCAGCACCCACATGGCAGCTAACAACTGTCTGTAACTCCAGTTCCAGGGAATCCAACAGCCTCTTCTGTCCTCCAAGGGCATTGCACAACACAGGTGCACTTACATACACATAAAATTAAAATAATAAATAAAATACTTTTTTAAAAACCAAATTTCATTTTAAAAAATCACCTCAAACTACGTGCAAAAGTATAGCTTGGCAGGCATCTTCCCATAATCTACAATAATGTTACTGAAACAGGGAAAGAAGATAGAACAACTACCATGATTTTTAAGCAGTTCTATGATGCTTCGTGGTGTCTTTTCACATGATTTTTTTTAATTTATTGAGACAGGGTCTTACTATGTAGCCTTGGCTGGACTGCAACTGTCTGGGATTAAAGGTATGCACCACATTGCCCGGCTATTTTTTTTTAAGATTTATTTATTTTTACTTTATGAACATGAGTGTTTGCCTTAATGCATGTATGTACAGCACATATATTCCTGGTGCCCAAGGAAATCAGAAGAGGGCATGGGGTCCCATTGAACTGGAGTTACAGAAGGTTATGAGCAACAATGTGGGTGCTGGGAACTGAACCAGGTCCTCTGCAAGAGCAACCGGTGCTCTTAATCACTGAGCAATCTCTCCTGCTCTGATACTAAGACCTAAATACATTAATTATATGGGCATCTGGTTGTAGAGAGTGGTGGGTGCCCAGAACCTCCCATGAGGGTACTCCTTACTCCTGAAGCTGTCTCTAAGTGCCTTCCTCAGAACCACAGAACTTCCAGACAACAGGTGGAAGGCAATAACACAAGAGGATCTCAGGGAGCTGTTCACACTTCAGTGGTCGAGCTACTGTGCACATCCTCTTCACTCCCAATACCACTAGGCATGGCCACAACTTCCTAACTGCTTACATCACTTTCACATCTTGGCTAACCATTTTTCCTTCTCAGTCAAACAAGGGAAAATATGATCCAGTCGATTCATTATATTTCACTATGAAAAGTAACTACAATTCTTTCCAGTTTCTGGGACAAATCTACATATGAAATTATTTTAATATCAATTTATTTGATAATACTTTTAAAATATCAAATAGCATTTATTATTTATTCATATACAGTTTGCAAGAGACAATGAAACTCCAACCTCAGATCTTCCTCCATGCAAGGCAGAATTCCTGAATCAATTTTTTCTTCTGATTCATCTTCCTTCCAGATTATATTTCAAATTGGTTGATGAGCCAAAATGTAAATTATGATTAGTTTTGATAATGACTGAAACAGGCCCAGAATACTACTGTTATCATGGAACTCATTTCACACAGTTTTAACAGCACTGAAGCTTAGCTTCTCCTATTTTTATGTCTCATCAGGCTAACCAAGACCCTTAGGAAAGGAAACATCAAGATGTTTTAATACATCTAGATGTTTGCCAATGCTCATACCATTATAATGCCCTACGTATTGTGACTTATATCCTAAGGTGTATTTTAAATGGCTATTTCTTTCTAATTATTGCATTTTCATTTCGTAGATAATTATGATGACATTCCATCAAGACCTTCTGTTGAGCTTAACAGGAGTTTAGGTCTCAATTAAGCTATGAATATCTCTTATACTTAACTGTTTGAAGACTAAAATAACATTTTATTTTCTGGCACAAATAACTGAAAATGGTAGTAAAACTGGTGTGTTCAGAAAAAGTGTTTTGATTGATTATCGTGTACATTTCAGGTCTAAATACTCAAGCATAGATTCAATAAAGTCTTCAAATTAGGCCAACTACCTATGTTTTAGTACCGCATAATAGTCTAAATTTGCCTACATGACTACCCTTTTCCTTTTCTAATTTTACTGTTTAAAAATAACTTCTTATCTGCATTAATAATGCATCACTAATACATAACAAAAAGCTAAACAGGAACCACGATCTTTGTTTTACACAGGGTCATTGGTCACTAAAACAACAAAACAAAAACCAAAAAAGCAAAAAAATCACTGTATTAAATTCCCTAATAACTTTAATGTATTTCAATGATGTTTGATGTTTTTATGCAAAATAGAAGTGAAAAAAAAAAAACAAAACAAAACTCCTCTATCCCAAACCAATTACTTGAGCATCACTTAAAAGCTTACAAAACAAATGAGAGGTCAGGGAGCAAAACAAAGTCGAAATTCTAATTAACCACAACTCTTTCTGAGAAAAGATAAGTTCTTGCCAATATTTTATGCTCCTTCCTACCCATTAAAAAGCTATAAAAATTCTGTGTACAATGTGGGACTCAACACATTTTGCGCTACTGAAACCATCATCTTTAGTTAAAGATACTGTAAGTCAAAATGCATTCAGTATAGCTAACCTACCAAATGTCACAACTTATCACAGAAACTGTAGAGGGTTGGTTGTTTCCCCTCAGAGGGACTGAATAGGGGTCAACTCATTGACACTACCCAGTATATATAGACCTATACCATGTATAATTAGTCTGCAAAAAGGTTGAAATTCAAAATTCAAATCACTGCATGCATATTTCACACCATGCTAAAGGCAAAAAACATTAAGTCAAACAAAACTTCAGGCACTGTCTATGTTGCCAAAGACTTTAACTCAGGAAACTGTTTTGATTGAGTTTATGCTTGTATATATTTTTACAGGAATTTACTCACCCCTATGTACACACCCTTCACTCCATGGCTGCCTCGAACCCACTGACTTCT